CTATTGCAATTCAGTGGATGGAAGCAAGTACCGGTATTTTCCAAGAATGAGTTTGCTTTAAAAGCAGTGGGGAAGAGGAATTATTGTGGCAGGAGGGCTGGTGGCTTTAAGCAGTAAGTAATTGGATCCCTTATGTGAATACAAACCTCCTTAAGAAATGTGTGCAGGTCACTCTTGAGGAGTTTTGAACGTATCAGAATCTCCTGTTTTGTTCCTTGTTTTCGATTCTTATAGCTAGTGTTAATTTTGCACAATCATTCTTGCCTCTGCCACCTTCCTCCCAACTCAGTACATGCTCACGCACACAGTGTAGGTCAAAAATACTCAAGACATTTTATAAACCAGAATATTTCAGTGTGTGCATTTAACGCTCATAGCTGTGAATGCACTTGACAAAGAGACTAGAAAAGCTTATGCAATCAGGTCCTTCCAGCTATGCAAGTACAGAATTGACACACCATGTTCTAGTCCATTGGGAGATGAATAGCTGGGAATGGAACACATGCAGGCTTTCTTTTACCACCTGGCCTTAGTGTCACTTGCACACCTTTTATTAGCTAACCGCTTTTTACCTGTGACAGAAACATTGAAGTCCAACATTAGTGTTTGTTACCATCCTATTCACTCCAACTCCTTTATGCACATAATTGAATGTCCCCATGTCCCCTGAGGTGTTTTCCTTGTTGGAAAACGGCAATATAGGAAAAGACATCACCATTCTTTACACCCGCAAACAATAATAAAACGACTGCTGGAGAAAGTAGAAAGTTTTGGACAGTGACTGCTCACCCAAACTATTCTTCAACATCAATTTCTTCTTTAACCCTTTATGTGTCTTGTGAAGTAGAGAAAAGTTTGTGTCTTAAGGAAAATTTGCAGTTTAATGAAGACAGTTTTTTAGGGGGCATACTTTAACCAAAAATGAAAAATAAAAAAATTACGGTCTACTTTTTTTCTTTGACAAGAGTGTTTTAACATTAGACCATCCACCACTGATGTAGGTTTTTTGGATAGTTATGTATCAGGTCTGTACCTCTGTGCCCACAAGTTTTTCTAATACTATTTTATTTTAAAAAAATTAGCAGTGTTGCTTTTCCATTCACTTCATGCTGTGTAGCAGTTCACAAAACTGCCTGATAAATTTTGCCTTTGTACCAGGTGTATTTTAATTCCTCCGTTTGGGAAGCCTTCTCAATCAAACTTTTTAAGGTTTGTTGCTTGTGAACTGCCTTTGATACATTCTGAAGCACTGGTTCTACTTAAGAAGGGAGGTCTCCTGTTTTATCACAGTAGCCTGGGCTTGTTAGAAGACAAGCAACCGAAGGAGATTGTTTTTGTTTTTTTTATTATTATTACTGAGATTTTATTTTTGCATTTGAACACTGCTCTGTGGCACAGAGCAGGAAGATAAAAAGTCCAAGGAGAGAACCCCCTTTTGGATTGGCTTGCAAACACTAGAGGTCAAAGCGCTCAGTGGCCCCTCTTAACCCTTCATTATCTGCGATGAGAGGATTGGTTAGGTAGCAATAAGAAATGACAATTCCCAGGCTAAAATATTTGGCATTTTCTTTTTTATATATACATAAATATATATAAAAATGTGTATTAAATTTTTGGTTTTTGTTTAGTCTCTTATTTTTTTTTTAATCTAAAAGAAAGAGTGACTTGGGATCATTAGAGCGTTATTTTCTTCCTTTTTCTGCAAGATGGATAACTTTAAAACCAGAGACTCCCCTTTTGAACAAAGGCTGATCCGCATTGGCTTTCTCACTGTTACGGGGAAGTATACTCGAAAAAAATTTTACAACTTCCCAGTATTTTGAAATGAACTTGAAGTGACCATACCTTTTTCTTTTCGCAGCGGGGAATGGGGTTCTTTTCACCCCTTTTCTGCACATTTTAATTTACAGAGTTTTGCAGGGGGACAGCTAACGAGTTTTTACTCTCAGCTGCCCCCTATCCATGTCCCCTTGTCTCTGATGTAGAATTAACCGGAAGAGGAAATGCAAAAAAATAATCATGGCAAAAAGTAAATCTATCATCCCTGTCTGTTCATTTCCTCCCCTTCCCCCACCTACCGAAATAAAGTAACAGCAACACTTGCAAAAAAGGAGAGGGAAAATTCCCCACCTCTTAACCAAGTAAAACAACCCCCTTTTCTTTCTTGCCCCGCTGGTACCAGTGAACGCTATCACAGTTCGAAACAAAATATAGTACTATAAAATAATTTTGTACTGTATTTATTGTGTATAACAATTTTTTTAAAGAATTATGTACATTTAGTACTTCTGTGTAAATTAAATTGCTCTTCTTTTTAAATACTGTATATGAATTGTTTTGTGTTTCTTTCCAAAGACCTTTAGAATACAGTTTGGAAATATGCAAATGAGCTCTTGACTTTAGATGGCTCATTTATTATTTGTATTACGGTAGCCCTTATTTGTAATGCTTTTGCTTAGCAAGACAATCTGATGTTTACGGTGGTTTCCAAAAGGGAAAAGCAAGTTAGACCCTGTCTATATCTTATAAGTATGTCTAGGAACCTGATCACAACCCAACTGGTTACAAACATGACCCAAAGTTTCTGTCTGAGGAAATACGGTTAAGGGATATTCTGCCCCACAGTTTGGAACCATGACTCCAGTCTGATCCTTGCAAGCATATCCTTGGTTTCCCTCTGGGCCCTGCTGTTTTCACTGGGACAGTGTGGCTTCACGTGGGTGTATGAGTGTGCCTGCAGAAGTCTTGTGGTATGATGAGGGTCCATCTTTGTAACCAGGTTGGGAAACTGGATTATAAATTAGTTCCTGGACATAGCGATATTTGGGTTCCTCACAATCTTGTAGTGCTCACGGTGTGTTACAAGTCTGGCGCCCACGGAAGCAAGAATGAGACTTGTCACTCGATGGGGCTTACGTCTCCACCTTGTGCGGTCATCTTACACCAGTGCAAAGTGAGTGTGAAATGACTGCACCAGATGCCAGGGCAATGGAGAATCAAGCCAGATGATTTCCAACCCTAGTACTTGTTAGACAGGGTCTTGGTCTTGGAAAGTTGTGAACAGAAAATAATTGATACCTTAATAACCGTTTTAAGGTCTGCAGGCTTGGGCTTGAAGGCTGGGGTTCAAAAGAGCCTCAGGTTAGGCTCCCAACTCCACATGAATTTTCATGGGATTTGGACTCCTCTAGAAGCCCCCAGCTTAAATGTCTTTTGAGGTCCTGTTGGCTTTGCTTTTCCCATCTGCCCACCCTGCCCCATCCCAGGGTATGGAGATATCCCATTGTACGCTGGTGGTAGCTTATTGCTTCGTTACATCTTGGCATGGCTGGACATACTGGAAGATTCTAGACGTACCAACAGAAAGGGCCTCTCTGCAGCTCTTGATTTGCTGGCCTCTGCTGCACCTTCCTGCGTTTCCAGCAGGGTTTGAAAGTCATTACCGTCTCATGGCTGGTCAGTAAACCATTTTCAGTGGTTAGCCAAACCCTGAAAGGTGTGCAGCCCTTATGGGGCAAGGTCCATGACTTGGGCTCTTAGAGTAAGTCTCCGCTGCATTTTAAAACCAGCAGCAGCAAGTCTCGGAGCCCAGGTCTACAGACTCGGGCTTGCACTATGGCACTAAACACAGCTGTGTAGACGTTTGGGCTCAGTGTGGGGCTCGGGCCCTGATCTCCCCCACCTGCCCCAGACATCAGAGCCTGGGCTCCAGCCCAAGCCTGAATGTCTACACAGCTGTTTTTAGTGCTGCTGCGTGAAACCTACAAACCTGAGTCTGTGGACCTAGGATCTGAAAGTCACTGCCATATGTTTTAAAATGCGATGTTGACATACGCTTAGGTGCAACCAGGATATATATTTGTGCTAGTTGCTTTCACCCACTGTAAATAAATCCACCTTAAATATATACATTTTATACATTTTTAATTAGGTGCTCATTTCAGCTGCCGAGATTCCAAGAGGCAGAAAATTCACAGTTTTGACATCTAAAAGCATTCATTATATTGGAAATAGTTTCTCAATAACCCCTCATAGCCACATGAGCAACACATTCCCCACCCCCTTCTCAGGTCCCCCCTGCACTCTTGGAAGCTGGATGTTGAAAAGGGGATGCGGAAAAGGCAGGGTCATGGCCCAGCAGAGCAGTATGCAGAGCTAGGATCGAACCTGCCTCATCCCAAGAGATGAACCAGATGAGGAATATTTGGAGAAAAGTGCAAAGAGCCACAAAATTGATTCCAGGGCTGGAAAAAACACTTTACAATGAGAGACTTAAGGAGCTCAATCTGTTTAGTGCAGGGGTAGGCAACCTATGGCACATGTGCCGAAGGCGGCACGCGAGCTGATTTCCAGTGGCACTCACACTGCCCGGGTCCTGGCCACCGGTCCGGGGGGGCTCTGCATTTGAATTTAATTTTAAATGAAGCTTCTTAAACATTTTAAAAACCTTATTGACTTTACATACAACAGTAGTTTAGTTCTATATTAAAGACTTATAGAAAGAGACCTTCTAAAAACGTTAAAATGTATTACTGGCACGTGAAACTTTAAATTAGCGTGAATGAATGAAGACTCGGCACACCACTTTTGAAAGGCTGCCGACCCCTGGTTTAGTGTATTGAGAAGATCAAGAGGTGAGTTGATTACAGTGTGTAAGTACCTTCCTGGGGAGAAAATATCAGCTGCTAAAGGGCTCTTTAATCTAGCAGAGACCGGCGAAACAAGAACAAATGACGGGAAGTTAAAGCCAGACAAATCCGAGTTAGAAGGGAGGGAGATTAACCACAGGAATGAACTCCCAAGGAAAGTGGCAGATTCTCCATTTCTTAAAGATTTCAGATCACGGCTGACTTTCTGGAAGAGAGACTTTAGCCAGACAAATTACTTGGCTCAATACAGGGATAACGCTGAACTACTCTGGCCTGTGTGATACGGAAAATCAAACTAGATAATCTAATGGTCCTTTCTGGCCTTGAATGCTGTGAATTATTGCAAAATGATTAGTGCAAAATTATCTATTCAATTTCTCCTAATGCATCCTCCTTAACTGATTTTTTTTTTTAATTGCATCTTGTTAGGTATTTGTTGCTGATCCTCCCAGGAGACGATACTCTCCACTCTTCCAGGTTAGGTGAGGGTAGCAAGCTCCAACCACTGAAAGGCAGAAACAAACCCGAACCGTTTAGCAGGCAACCCAAGTCTTTGTGTATCTTCGATGCTGTGTGTCAAGAGAAGTGCTGCAAACCAGAACCCCCGTTGGAAGCTGCTTTAGGAAAGTGGTTGCGTGGGTCGTAGGAAAGAAAAAAGCAAGGGGTGGGGCAATATTTCACTAGCATTTTTTATACTCTGGGGTGGGTCAGGAAGCAACTCTGGGGTGGAAGAGCCAGGAGACAGGCAAGATTGAGGGACGTCGGCAGAGGTGGTGGGTGGAGGCAGGCGTGTATAGCAGGGTTGGGCGGCTGATGGGGATAAGCACAGCTGTGGGGCAGGAGCCCGGAATGGGACGAGAAGGGGAGAGGGGTTGTGGTTTGGGATTGCGGGTGGACTCGGGCTGAGATCGCGGTGGGGGGCCGCCTGGTCAGGATGGAGGTGCAGCGGCGAAGCGGTTGGAGACCCAGGAGTAGCTTGGCACTTTGCAGAGCGGAGTGGGAGAAGTTTGTCCAGCTGCACTTTACTTGGCTCAAACCAGCCCTTCTTCCTTCCACTGCGAAACAGGTGCGCCCAATGCCTTCTCTTGAAGGCCAAGACAAGGGGATGATTACGAGGATGGTTTGGTGCATGCCCAGACCCAGCAGTGGGGCATGAGGAGGAGTAAGCAAAAAGGCTTACTAATTGCTGCAGCAAAAACACTAGGGGTCTCGGCTCAGCTAGCGCCCAGCGTTGGGGCAGTGATCAGCAGCCGCTATGAGCGAGGGGCAGTAACCCGTGCTTCTCACCTCCTTCTGCGTCATGGTGATCATCCCGGCACCAGCTTTGTCGTACTCTTGGCACTGCCCTGCCACAACAGAAAGAAAGCGAGACTTAGCAGGCAGCTGTTGCCCACATAACGCTCCACACGCGCACACACACACACACGTGCCTGTGCGCACACAATAGGATACTCTTCTGCCCTGGAACGTGCACACTCATTTGCACCAGTGCAAGGTTGGTGTCAAGTGCTGCCATTCGGAATTGGTAGTGCTTGGCGTGGTCGCTTTGCACAGGTGTTAATGGCTGCATGGTGAGCACGGAATGGAGACGCCGACCCAGGGAACGTCAGTCGCTGTCGCACACAGGAGCCTGAAGTTCAGCCCTTCCGTCCCAATTTGCATCACTGACTCCACGGTGTTGAAATTCAGCAATCCCAACATGCCCGAGAGTTGACATCGCGTGCCCACAACATTCAGGCAAGTGGAGCGTTCTGAGCCATTGTTCCAGTTTAGGTCAGTTTCCAAAGCCATGTGGCCCGCCACACAGATTGCTTTTAAATCCTCCTCTTAACGGAGCGGCTGGAGTTACCCACTGATTAATACATGGAGCGAAAGCTCAGCTCGTGCTGTAACCTCACGCCCTGCTCCGACAGTGTCTCCCCTCTACTGCCCGTTCTCGTGCTGGCTTCCCATCTCTTGCTACAAGACACACCCCGGTTCAGTAAGAAACTGGGCTCGCTATCGGGCTGAGATCTCCGGCCTGTGCTGAACAGGACGGACAGACTGGGATGGTCAGAATGATCCGTTCTGGCCTTAACATCTCTGAATCTCCTGCACGGGATTCACACCTCTCCTCCTCACCTTCAACCCCCTTTACAATTCTCCATCTCTTCTCCTATTCCTCCCTTCCCCCAGCTCGCACCCGGGTTGCCACCGGGTCATGTTACAAGGGCTTTATTTCTCCCGGCTCGTTCTGAGGAGATAGACTGGCTGAAGGGGAAAGGTGGGGAGAAGAGGGGTTACGAATGGTTGCTGACGCTGGGGTGTTCTTAGCATGTGATTTGTGCACGTGGCTCTGTGGTGGAGAGGCGTGGATCTGCACAGCCACTGATGGTGGAGCTGCTAATCCTGTTAGCCTAGCGGGAGACAGCGCTTACTGAAGATGGCTTCCAGCTGCACCATGCAGGACAGGAAGCTGTCGAAGTCGATCATCAGGTAGTGGTCGCGGTATTTGCTTGTGATGGTCTCCCTCAGCTGGTGGTTCAAGTGGAAACCTGCGTGCAAAGCGCGAAAAGGATAACGAAGGCCTGAGATTCACACAGTGTTTGGACTTTCACTGGGGCTTGTTGTGCAATTGTTGAAGCTCGTACCCAGGCTGATTTTGTCTTCTCCAGTTTAATACACCTCAATATCAACAGACACCTGAAAGCTGGGGGCACTTAATGGATGTCTCCTGTCCTGGAAAGGCTGTATGGTCTAGGGGTTAAAGCACAGGCGTGGGGACTCGAGAGCGCTGCCACCTTTGCACAGAGAGGCAAAGAGGCAGCGAGATTAAGAGAATCCCTATTTAATGACTCTCAACGGCTTTGAGCTCTTGAATGGAAGGGGAAAGCATCGTGCCCATGACCTGGCCCTGGGTCAATTCCTGGGGCTAATGTTTAGCACTCTTGGTGTCAGAGCTTTTTCCTGCTTGTATTGCAGTAACACCAATTCAGATGAGGGCCCCGCTGTGCCAGGCGCTGTACAAACAGCCCTGGCAGGGGCTTAAAGAGAGGAAAGGATAGGATGGGGAGGGATAGCTCCGTGGTTTGAGCATTGGTCTGCCAAACCCAAGGTTGTGAGCTCAATCCTTGAGGGGGCCATTTAGGGATCTGGGTCAAAAATCTGTCTGGGGATTGGTCCTGCTTTGAGCAGGGGGTTGGACTAGATACGTCCTGAGGTCCCTTCCAACCCTGAGATTCTATGAAAAGGGGGACGGGAACAGAGGCATAGGAAGGTGACTTGCCCAGTCACCCAACAGGTCCATGGCCATGCTCAGAGTCTGGACTCATGGTCCTAGTTTAAAAACACCGGGCATGTTTAGTCTTGAGAAAAGACGACGGCGGGGGAACCTGAGAGTAGCCAGGAAGGGCTGTTATAAAGAGGATGGGGATCAGTTGTTCTCCGTGTCCAATGAAGGTAGGACAAGAAGTAATGGGCTTCATCTGCAGCAAGGGAGATTTAGGTTGGATAGAAGTAGAAACTTTCTAACCCTAAGGGGAGTAAACAGCCTAAGGGACAGGCTTCCAAGGGAGGTTGTGGGATCCCCGTCACTGGATTGGACAGACGCCTGTCAGGACTGGTCTAGGGTTACATGGCCTAGCCTCAGTGGAGGGGGCTGGTGGTGTTGACTGCTTGCGGTCCTGTCCAGCCCGACGTTTCTCTGATTTGAGGATTGCTGACTCTATTGCACAGTGGGTCAAGCAAGCACCCCACATTTTTCCTCCCTGTCCCCAGTCGCCGGGATTTCCTGAGCTTGAGAAATCGGTGGCAGCATTTCCAAGGTGCTGGGCGGCGGAGGTGGGGGACACCTCCAGGTCTTTTTACCAGAGGGTTAAACCCCATTTCTGCACTCGGATGTGCAGTACAAACACAACCCACCCATAGGGTGGCTCTCTGACTGTATGCCTTGTCTCTATCCTCACGCACATCTGAGCAGAGTTCCACAGAGGGGGCCCCCCCTTGATCCCTCTGCAGCAGTGTCCCCCGCCGCTGGCCAGCTGCTGTTTCCCCTTTGACCCCTCCACACCTTTGAGGCTTCACCCTTTTGGCAGGCATGGCCAATGCTGTTCCTGCGTCCCACCAAAGGTCACAGAGCCGCAACCGTTTCTTTGTCGCTCTCCTTTAACTCCTGACACCACCACCCTCCTTACCCGCTGCATCCAGCGCCAGCTGCATTTCGTGGATGTTCATCGTCCCTGAGCGGTCCACATCATACTGGATAAAGACAGCCTGTCAAACGGGAGCAGAGAGTCAGGATCCAAGAGAGTATAGGGGCTTCAAAACTCACACCGCCATCCCTGAGCCAGAGGCCAGCGCCAAGAGGAATCGGATTCAGGGTTTTACAATGAGATCAATGCACATGCCGCCCCCTGGTCAGTACGTTTTGTGGGTCTCTGACCCCGGCCAGTGCTGGGACGCTGCAGTCTCCCTGACTTGGCTGAAAGTTGTGACTCCTTGGCAGCTCCGAAGATCAAGCCCGGTGCCAGAGGCAATAGCTCAGAGAGGCGTGAGCTGCCTCTGTCCGTGTCGGGAAAGGGTGAGCGCAGAGGCCCAGTGATGATTTAGGTGTGAGATCACTCTTTCATTCCTGATTTAAAAACGGGGAGCGGTGCCTTAGTTTGGTGACTCACAAGGGCAGACCTTGGAAGAACACCAATCTTCCCCTATCCACTGGAGCCCGTTTCCTGGGCAGCCTACAGAAATGGGGATTGTTTGCTTCTCCGGAAGGGCAGCATGGCTAATAACCCAGCCGCTGCATCGCTCGGGGGGTGGGGGGGACTCGAACCCGTGACTTTCTGCCACCGTGCCTACCTCCCATTCTTTAATCTTGCTCCACAGGTGCTTGAACTCTGGCAGCGTCAGTTTGCCAGTCTTGCTGTGCTGATGTCGCTCAGTGAAGGGAAAACACCAGCCCTGCGCAGGGAGGAGACGCGCGGCTCTCTCCAATTCCTGCTTCCTACCCGGCTGGCTTTTGTAGCAAAGGGGGATCCTGTCTCAACTTCCCCTGTTCTCCCACCACCATTCCCCATTCAGTTTGGTGTCTGCGGGCTGCTCCCAGAACGGGGAGCCCCATTCGGGGATTCTCCGCAACGAGGCGGACGTGGCTCTTTGGACAGCGGCGTATGCTTTGACTGTGGGTAACCCACCCTAGTCTACATACGTGGTTTTCAGGCTCCTACAGTTCACGCCTGTGGGATGGAAGCCCTGCATCTCAATGGGAATTAGGTGCCTTAATACCTGTGAGGAGCTGGGACAAACTTCTTTAGCTCACCTGCTGGTAGGCATGTGCTTCTAGGTCCAGGGTTCAAACCCCACTGACCCAAGTGGGTGGGATTAGCCCTTTGAGCTCATTGATGGGGTTTCCCAGGGGGAGGGTCGGCAATCCAAAGTCCTAAGACCCCTTCATCGTAGGAGAGCTGGACCCCAGAGGCACTGCCCCTTCCTTAGTCATGCAAACAGCTCCCTCCTCCCCCAGCGAGGTCCTGTTCCCAGGCGGCTCAGAGCTCAGCTCAGGCCAACCCCACACATAGAGCAAATTGCCGGAAACCAGCGATCCAGCTACTCCGGTTTCCCGTCTCCAACAGTGGCTGGCGCCAGAGGACAGGGGAAGAGCCGCCCAATAGGCAGATCCGGGACAATCTGCCCAGTTGCCAGCAAGGGAAGATGGAGACTGAGCATTGCTATCCCAGTTACAGGTGAGTTCTCTCATGCCAAGGCCCCGTCGTGGGGTTACCCTGTCCTGGGCAGAATGACACCATGTGATGTTTTTTTCTTAACATTTCCCACCCTAGTTTCTTCTCCAAAGGATACATCGAAGTGCTGGATGATCTTCTGGCAGCGCTCCAGGCCAAACCCATCTGTCTTCGTTTGACTATCTGCAAGGTAAGAGTGTGGCAGTGTTAGATAAAGGCGTATCTCATGAGCCGGAGCGTGGGCGAGACGGGGTTTGGCCCATCGGCTTTGCCGGGCCTGCAGTTGTCAAGAGGTGCCGAAGCAGCCTGAAGTGTTTGCCATGCTCCTGGGGGGGAGGGGAGTCTAGTGGTTGGAACAGGGGAGGCTGGGAGTTAGGACGGCTGGGTTCTGTCCTTGGCTCTGGGAAGGAAGTGGATTCCACGGGGTGGGTTGGGAGTCAGGAGGGGATAAAGTTCTACTGGTTGATAATGGAATTGGGGGTCAGGACTTCTGGGTTCTATTCGCAGCTCTTCCAGTAGAGGACAGGAAGTGTTGTCCAGCAGGTGGCCGAGGCCGGGGGGTCAAGACTGATGGATTCCATTTCTGCTGCTGGGAGGAAATGTCACCTAATGGTTAGAGAGAGGGGCCTGGGAGTCACCACTGCTGAGTGATATTCTTAGCTCATGGTGATTGGAGGGGTTGGGGGGGAGAGTGTGTTGTGTTGTCCAATGGTTAGAGCAGGGGATTGGGAGCCGGGACTCCTGGCTTCTCTTCCTGCCTCTGCCGCAGACTGCCTGTGCAACCTTGGGCATGTCACTTCCCCTCTCCTGTGCCTCGGTTTCCCCATCCCTCAAAGGAGGAGAACTGTACTGCCCTACCTCGCAAGGGGGAAAGGCCAAGTGTTCCACCTGCAGAGACACCTGCTGGACAGGTCCAGTCTGAACTGGTCAAACACTGGCTCCCGTGGTGCTGAACGGATTTATTTCCATTGCGACCAGACCCTTTCCCGTCTCGAGAGGGAGAACGCCTGGGGACAGGCCAACTTCCCCCCCTCTATGCTGAGTCCATTGGAGTCAGGGCTGATTTGGGATTAAAGCTCCTCTCTGGGATAGCAGAGCTAAGGAGTGCAGCGCCGGCCAGGGAAGGGTAGAGGTGATTGCGCAGGGGTACTCACGCTTTGCCATGACCTTGTTCAGGATATCCTGCAGTTTGGCAGCGTCGATCTGCTTGTCCTGCCAACCAAGCAACGCGAGTGGGTTGAAATGGGGTTTCCCAGGGGCAGGATGCATGCTCCAGGGGTTAGCAAGCTAGTCTGGTACGGGGTTCAATTCCTTGCTTTGCCACAGACGCCCTGTGTCAACCTGGGCAAGTCACTTAGCTTCTCTGTGCCTCAGTCTCCCCACTGTGCAATAGGGATCATCACACTTCCCTACCTCGCAGGGGGTGGTAGGAGGGTGAGAACATCAGAGCTGCCACACTGGGTCAGACTAGGGTCTATCTTGCCCAGTATCCTGTCTCTGACAGTGGCCCATACCAGAGCTTATGGGGAAGTGTACAGAACTGGGCAATCATGGAATGATCCATCTCTGGCTTCCGGCAGTCAGAGGTTTCGGGTTGCCCCAAGCATGGGGTTGTGTCCCTGACCATCTTGGCTAATAGCCATTGGTGGATCTGTTCTCCAAGAACTCATCCCGTTCTTTTTTTGAACCCCGTTATACTTTTGGCCATCACAACATCCCCTGGCAATGAGTTCCACAGGTTAATTGTGCATTGCATGAAAAAGTACTTCCTTTGGTTTGTGTTAAACCTGCTGCCTGTTCATTTCACTGGGTGACCCCTGGTTTTTGTATTGCGGGAAAGGGTAAATAACACTTCTCTGTTCACTGCTTCCACACCGGTCATGATTGTCTAGACCTCTGTCATATCCCCCCCCCTTAGCTGTCTCTCTTCTAAGCTGAACAACCCTAATCTACATGAAAGAGGATGGGGTGCTCAGGTACTGTGTTACTGCTTGAGAACATTGGGAATAGCCAGTTGCCTTTTCCATCCTTGCAACCCCTGTGTCACTTCAGTTCGTCTGAGGTCAGAACTTGGCCCCAAGAGCAAATCAAAGCGTTCGTGGGAAATCCAGAGCCCGGCTCTGTAGAAAAAGACCCCGATAACCCGCCCCAGTCAAACCCGGGATCCTCCCCACCCCACTCACCGGTCCTGCAAGCCTCAGGAAGATTTGCTCAAATTCCTTCTCGTTGGAGATTCTCTGGGGAAAGAGGGTCACATTTTCAAGCCAGCTGCCTGTGGCATTTTGCCTAAAATATTTTCACCTGTGAAGAAACTCGGTGGAATCTTCACCTGCACTGCAAGAGGCTCTGCTCAGGGTGCTGCTAGTGGGGGCCAGGGAATGAGGGATCATTGGGGTGAGACCTGGTAGGAAAGCGACCCCCAGCGTGAAATGCTGAGGAAAAACCATGCCCCAAATTTTCCATTTAGTTTCGGGCGGTTCCTAGGTTTTTAGGCCCTGCGAGGGAAAATACCAGGGCTGTTTTTCCTCCTTTCCATTTCTAACCTGCTGCAGATGGGGGGGCAAAGGGGTTGTCAGTGCACAAATCCGCACTCATTTCCTTACAGCCACTTGGGACTTATTGACACATGAACTGGAACCAGATGCCTTGTAATCCACACCGCTGGTTAGTTTGGGGCCCATCTGTGCATGGACATTTTGGTTGAAGAGCACCGTAGGCTGCTGCCTTGTCCCCCTAACTTAGGAGAAAATCAACACCACACCCAGAGTCTCGGTGCACTGACACCTTCAGCAAACCCCAAGAGAGGACAGTTCAGCATAAATCCAACCACTAACTTCCCGCGAACCAGGGTCTCCATTGCCAGCGCTTCCCTGCTCCTGCAACTCTTCCCCAGTCCTTGCTGCGGCCTGATACCCCCCTTTTGCCAGGCCCAAACCCCTGTTCTTAAAGGGGTGCTGCTTCAGAACAGGACTGGCCAGCTCCAGCTCTCTGGCCCTTAGCCGTATGTCTACACTGCCTCACCGTGTCTCAGAGCCAAGATCAGTTGACTCAGGCTCGGACTGCGGGGCTAAAAATTAGTGTAGACGTTCAGGCTCGGGATGGAGCCCAGGCTCTGGGACCCTCCCCCTTCACAGGGTCTCAAGGGCTGGACGCCAGCCTGCACCCAAACATCTACACTGCGATCGTTAGCCCCACGGCGTACGTCAGCTTCCTGGCTAGGTGTGTTTCACCAGCAGGTGGACTTAGCCCTGCATTGGGGACGGTGTTGAAAATTCCTGGGAAGCACATTAAGATGCTGGGTGGAACATGCTTCACCGGTAAGCCTGACTGTTAGCCGAGACGCCGTTACCTGAAGGGGTCTCATGTCTGCTCTGATTTCACCATCGATTTCCCTGGAAGACACAAGAATATTGCACAGTAGCTTGTTAAGATGGGCACTCTGTATCTGTCTATCTGAGGTACTTCGATGGCCTTCTGTTACTGGAGAACTGAACGCCTCACCCTCTTCAGTGTATTTATCGTCATCCGCCTAGAAGGTCAGGAGATGCCTTTCTCCCCATTGCACAGACGGGGGAAGTGAGGCTGTGAATGACTTGCCCATGGTACAGAGGAAGACTTTGGCCGCCCCGGGAACTGAGTCTCCTTATCCTTCCTCCCAGTATTGGGTTGTTTTCTTTACCCTTTTCTTTCTCTCTCTTCTTGAGCATCTTCCTTTTGTTTAGCCATTTAGAGTCAGCGTTCCAGCCCTCTCTGGGAGAGCACTTAGACATCCTTAAAGTTAAGCATGTGCTTTGCAAAACAGGGATGGATCGAAGCACATGCTTAAAATGCATTGCAGAACTGGGGCCTTAAACTGTGCCATGCCGCTTGCTGCTGCCATTGCAGTGCTGCCCGATAGAGGGCGCTATCCCACCGGACCACACCCACACCCCGTTTGATCCTTTTCCCAGCTCCAGTGTTAGGAGACTGCTCTGCAGTGGCAGGGGTTGAAAGAATCACCAGGCAGCAGATGGGAAATGCGTGCAGCGCCTTGAGGTACCAGGCTGCTGGTTAACATGGACTAGACATCACGCACACCCTCTGGTGAGCTAGGTATTTAACTTCATTGGAGGGTTGGGGAAACTGAGGCACAGAGCAGGCCCACGACTTGCCCAAGGTCACACTGGGAGATGGGGGAAGAATTGGGAAAAGAATCCCGGTCTCTTGAATCCCCCAGACCCACGTGCTCTGAGCACTAGCTAATATTCCCTTGGAGATCCAGGAAAAGAACCCAGGAGTCCTGACTCCCAGCCTAACCATTAGCCGCCATTCCCTTCCCAGAGCTGGGAATGGAACCCAGGAGTCATAAGCCCCCATCTTTAACCTAACCGCTCCCCCCACACATCTGGGGCAGGGCGCCCGCAGTTCTGACTCCCACTCCCTTGCTTTAACCCCTCAGCCATGCTATCGATGGGTGTCAAAGTGCAACGCGCTATTAAACTGGATGCACCAACCCTGCACCGTGCAAACCCCTGTTCACGGTTCTCTTTGCAAGGCCCGCGGGTTTCAGGAAGCTGGGACTCACAGGGACTTGTTTGCCTTCTCCGTGAAGATGCGCAGGGTGAAGCTGGATTCCTCCATCGGGTAGCCAGTGCTGGGGATGATGAGATAATCGCCCGGCGGCAGCCTGTAGCGGCCGGAGACATCCCTCATGGGCACGTGCGCGGTCCAATACACGGCACGGAGAGACGGGAGCAGCGCCCTCCTCTGGGACATATTCTTCAGCTCCAGGTACTGCGGGGAGACGGGTCTGAAATCAGTGGGAGTCAGGTGCTGAAATAACTCGGAGGGTCTGGCCCAGTCAGTGTAGACCCTGGTCCGTGACATGGGATTGTAGTCAGTTGGTGCAGAGGTACTGGGTTTGCTGGCCTCCTCGCCAGTGCAAACCGGCTGAGTTCCATGGAAGCCAATGGAGTGACACCAGTTTACACCGGCTGGCGATCTGGCCCCATTGACACCAAAGGAACGACACCAATTTATGCCACCCGGGGATCTGGCCCTGTTCACTCCTTTTAGATCCCATTCATGGATCTTTCCTGCAGTTCCCAACATGGCCCAAGCTCCTCTCTGCGCCATCCCCACCAGCATCTCCATGTTTTAACCACTGCGAATCAGCCGTCCGGCCGGAAGCTGGGATGGAAGTCCGGCCCACGGACTGAGAGCCAGGGCTGACGGAAATCACAGCCTCTCTCGCTAGTTACCTGCTTGGACATCTGCAAGAGAAAAACAGAGCAGAGGGGGAGCAAGAACCCTGGTGGTCTCTGTGGTCATCCCCTCCCTCCCTCCCTCCCTCCCCTGGGCTCTTCTGCCCTCTGCGCTGGGACACAGGGCAGTCTCTGCCGAGGGGCTGCTCACACCGCGTCCCCACAGTGTCACTCGCGAGGAGTGTTGGGTATCGGGGTCCCCAGCGGGACGCAGAACCTGCTCCGTTCCCGGTCTCCAGAGCTGAGTGGAGCAGGCAGCTCCCTTCCAGCCACACCCCGACCTGCCCCGGGTTTCTCAAGGAAGCGGTAAGAGGCTGCAGCAGCCTTTGTGGTGAAGGCCGGAGACTGGGGATCAGTTCGCACCTCTCTGGGCCTCCCTTCCCTATCTGTCAAATGGGGGAGAGCGCTCCTCCCTCTGCCTGTGCAGGGGCCGTCTCGCTCGACATCTGCGCGGCGCCTGGCACAACTTGCACCCCGATCTTGGTGGGGTTCCAGGCAGGGCCCAGCATGAGGGGGCCCTGACCTCAGTTGGGGCGTCTCGCTCCTCTTTGACCTGTCCCCCTTCCCAGCACCCAAAATCCCCCTTGCTAATACCTCCTTCCTCGCCCCTGACCCCAGTCCCGGCGTTGACTCTTCTGAGGGGATTATTTGCCTCTGACGTTAAGGGGGCTAGGGTCTTACTCTTGGCTGTTACTGCAAACCCAAGCGCTGCAGGACAATTGCCCCGAGCCCCTTGGCCAGGGGCGGTAGCAGAACAGCTGCCCCCCCCCTTGGGGCCGTCACTCTCCGCGGGCAAGGACACCCCAGCAAGGAGCTAGCTGGAGGCCGTTGGGTGGACAGAGAAGGTTTGGTGTATTGGGCCAGTGAGCTCAGCGGGAGGGGCTCCGGCTTACCCCAGGGCGGGGAGGGAGGGGCCCTTACACTTCTCGGGGTCAGCCCGTACCTTCAGGATCTCAAAGCCAATGGGCAGAAAGTCCTTTCCCCTCTTCCTGTCCTGGCGTCGGTCCTTCTGCATCAGGGAGACCAGCAGGGTGCAGCTGGGGTCCGGGCGCTGCTTCTGCAGGTCGGCCTCATCCGCCTCCAGCAGGCGGACGTGGTACTGGGGGTTCATCCAGAAGCCGTCTGCGGGGGCGAGGCCAGGCCAGTCTCAGCATCGTAGGGGGTGGGGGGCGAGAGGGGGAGACTCCACCCGTAGGACCATGTCACCCTCCCCCTTTGTGCTTTTGAGGGGGGGGGAGGGTTGGCTGGGGCCAAAGAACCTCCCCCACCCCCAGGAATGTCTGCAATTGCTTCAGCGTGCAACAGCCCCCACTGCTGCTGCATCCGCTCCCCCCCGCCTGGGGGGCTGTGGATATTCCTGGTCATTGATCCCCCAACCCCATCCCAGGTTCTGCCCCTAAGGCCCTTGTGTGCACCAGCAGGCAGCCACCCCCCCCCATACGTCCTCCCCCGCCCCCAGATCTGCTGCTGCCCCTCAATCCATGCCCCCGCCCCTCCTTCGGGCAGAGCCCTTTACCTCGAAGGCCCGAGCTCCTGCACCCGCCGGCGGTATAGCCAGTGCTCCAGCGCCCCTGGAAGGAGTGAACGTTCCAGCCGACCCCCTTCTCCTCTTCCAGCAAGTCTGGAGTCAGGCTGCAGATCTCCAGGGCGTCAAAGTACCGCAGGAAGTCGTCCATTTGCATCCTGTGCGTTGAGACAGACGGAGAGAACAGGGAGGTGCAGACACGGGCCAGGACTGGTCCGTCAGGGAGCCCTGGAGCACCTCGCTCTGAGCAAGATCCAGCGGCCCAACTCCCCAGCTGGCAGAAATCAGTTCAGTCCTGTCGACTCCAATGGAGCGGCACCAGTTCACACACCAACTGGGGATTGGGCCCCACCCTCTCCCCACACTTGTAGAGACTCCCAGGATGACCTAGTCTGTCTCTACGACATCACTGTTCAATAGCACATGGGGGGGAGTGGGCTGATTCCATCTAGCAGGTCAGGGCGCCAGAGTCCGGAGCCCTGCCACTGACCTGCTGGGTGACCTTGTGCCAGGCGCCTCCCCTCCCCGTGCCTCAGTTTCCCCTCCCAGCCTTTTTCCATTTGGACTGTAACTACTCTGAGGCACCCCCTGGCACAAGGGGGGACCTGATCACGGTCGGAGTCCGTGCAGCACCTGGCACAACGGGGGCCCGGATGTCAGTCGGGGTCTGTGCAGCGTCTGGCACAACGGGGGCCCTGATCTCAGTCGGAGGCCTAGGCACTACCATAATAGTACTGGTAGTAACAATAGTAATGCTAAACAGTGCCGCCTGTCATGGAACATATTTGACATTCCCTGTGCTGCCCTTTCCCACCCCTACCCAGTATCAGCTCCCACCAATAGTCCCCTTTGTTGTGTGGGGGGCTGGGTCTCTTACCAGAATTCCCCGTCTTCCTTTCTCACTTGTAGGCTCTTCTGGAGCTGGGGATCCAGCCCCGCCCACAGCGAGGAGCTAAGCAGAGAGAAGAAGGGTGCGGAGGTTAGATGTGCTACCCAGGACTCTGCCATCCAGTGTCTGGGCCATATAGACCCCGCACCTGCCCCTGAGTTACTGGCTCAGGTCCTTTAGCTCTGGCAGCTGAGACTTGTGCTTCGAAATGCAGAATCCCACCCCAGGCAAGTAGTTGTGATGGGGGAGTCACCAGGTTTCACACAGCATTACAAGTTCTTCGTGTGCGAGCAAGTGGTCAGTCTTTGAAGAAATCCTTGTCGTTAATTTCATTTCGGGCAAGCAGCCGGGGAGTTTGCGCTCCACCCTAATCTCCCTAACTCGAGTCAGTTCTTGGGGCTGGAGCCGGGATCTGCGTGGTGGGGCTGAGATCCCTGAACGAGGGGCTCACCTCAGTGCCGTGTGGGACCTGCCTTGCTCCAGGACTGGCGTGTCTAATGTCTTTAATAGTTGTACTGAGAACGTTCCCTGATGCCACGTCCCTGATTTCTCTTCCAGTGGGAAACTGACGCCCCGCACGCTGCTGCTGTTTGCAGAGGGGTGACAAGCTGGTGAGCATGGGAGCCTAAGCGAACAGAGCTGGGTCTGTTAGCTCAGGCTGGGAAGGCTTGTGTTTCATAGTGCAGAGATCCTGGGTGCAATCGCTGCTCACCCATAAAGCAACGCAGCCTGGGGGCGATGTACGTTGAAAGCACTCGTCAGAATACTGCCGGGTTCCTCATTAAAACTCTGCCCCTCAAATCCACCCCCCTCTTTTTTCCCCCGCACTCACTGGTCGCTCCACCGGCCGTTCCACTCCACCTCTCCCCAGGGGTTCCTCAGCCGCAGTAGCTTTAGCTTCTTGCCCCTGTGATCCAGCTGTACAAAGGCACATGGGGAAACGGGCTTGAATCGTGGCACGCGGTCGCTGTTCAGGAAGGTTGCTGGGACCCCGCCCGGCCCATCACGCTGACCAATCATGGCTCATGGTTTCCTTGGGCCCTGTCTGTGTCTGCCTGTCGACTCTTGTGTTGTCTGTAACCCGTACCCCAGTCTGTCCTTCTGTTCTCTG